ATTTTCAGTGCCCAAAACAGGCCTTGTAAAGTCTAATCCGACTGGGCTCAAAATACGCTTCAGCTCGATTTCAGGTACAAACCAATATTGATCGTGGGGCGAAATAACATGTGACAAAAAACACAGATACTTGGAACAGGTACGAGCTTGGAACAGTTACACATGGAACCTGTGAGTGAAAAATACTCGTTTGTGTCATCCCTACTTTTCACACAAAATGGGAGCGAGTAATAAAATCACGACCTATCTGCGACATATTCAAAAGCACAGAAAGGGGGAATATTTTGGGATTGCCACCACAGACTACTCACGATAGCGAATAACCTGTGTTCAAGTAGAAGGAAGAACACAGATCACAGAGTAACCTCTGTGAGGAAGAAGAGCGGGTCAGTATAGTATTTCTTTAATATCCTAATCTATACTAGTGAGTAGTCTGTGCCATAAAGTAAAATAAATTATTTTACTTACTCTATGGTCTGTGCCTAATATTTACCATAGTGATTATAAGGAAAATAAAATAATGTTACCTTGTGTTCATCTATGGTGTATGAGAGACCCTTTGCAATTGTAAACAACCCTCTTCTAACTTATGAAAGGATATTTCTTTCTTTAAGATACTGCTGACATGTGCTCTGTTGGAGAAGGCTTTGAGGATGAAGGGGGAAGTCGTATGGAGAAAGCCGCCAGTGCAAATTGGTACGAACGAAAACATTATTCAAGTTCGCTCAGTAATAAGTATCGTATTCCATTCCAGGAAAGGTGGAAAATGTAATAAATGCAGAGAAAATGATCCCGTGATATTACTCAGGAAGAAAGATGCTTATTGCAAAGCCTGTTTTCTAGCTGGTGCTAATCATAAATTCAAAGCCTTATTAGGCAAATCCAAGTTAATTCACCCCAAGGACAGAGTTCTGATAGCATGTGAAACTGGTCACCCAACCATGTCTCTTCTGCATCTCTTGAGGTCTGGCCTGGACTTAAACACTCAAAAAAAGCTGAGATTTGAACCTGTTTTAGTCTATGTGGAAGGTTGACGAGCCGAAGTAAGATCTTGATTAAATATTAACAATTTACAACTTCCAGATAATTATCACATGTCTATTGGCGAACGACAGAGAATTATTAGATCAATAAATAATGAAACATCCAGGTTGAAGTTTCCACTACACCTGGTGTCTTTTGCAGACTCAATCAATAGAAAAAATGTATTAATTAGTCAGAAATCTTTAGCACTAAACAGGTGTGATCAAGGAAAGGTTAACGCAATGTTTGACCAATCAATTAACAAAACCAATAGAAGACAACTTCTACATATTATGAAGTAAGTAGTACACTTGTGAGTTTATTTTGTCATATATAAACTTGATTTTCAGACGAAACATTTTACTTACTGTAGCCAAACAGTTGAACTGTAAGTATATCTTCACTCCTGAGCTATCGATGGATATAGCTTCAAGTTTATTAACCAACATAGCTTTAGGAAGAGGGTCACAAGTTCCGGATGATACTGTATGGTTGGTTACTTGTGGCACAATGTTCTTAAATCATACAACTTTTCATTCTCTCAGGGTTTCTGTGATGGCAGAGATTCCGAAGTGAAGATTTTAAGACCGCTGCGCAATTTTGACATGAAAGAGTTGGCTATGTATAATGTTTTCCATAAACTGGAGCCCGTGTCAGTAAATCCAGCACAAATAGACCAATACTCCTCTGTGCAAGATTTAATGAGCTACTTCATCATCGACCTTCAAGAAAACTATCCTGCTACCATTACAACAGTTGTAAAAACTGGTGATAAGTTGGCATTGAATCAGAGCATGATAGCCGTCCAATGCAAACTTTGTCAGGTAATTGCATTGGCCAAATTTCTCCTAATCCACAATAATAGCACTATCGCTCTTCTCTAAAAAGTAACTTTGGTTTATAGAGTGCCATTTTGCGGAATTCAAAAGGACTTAGCTCAGCGGAATCTACCAGATTTTCAAAGCTGACTTCAAATGAACTTCCCGACCACAACGTATCTGGCCCGGAAAGATATTTGAAACTCACTGAAAAGTCTGACCACAGCCCGCAAGAACGTCAACAGTATTGCTTTTCTTGTTCCAAATTATCGCGACATTTGTTAGAAGAAATATAGGCTTATCTGGCCGAAATCACTCTTATACAGAATTGATCGATTACTACGTTGTAAATTTTCCGCCTGGTTACCCAAAATAAATCCTGTATAGGTATGCAAATCAATTTTTAAGTGCCCTAAAAATATTAACCACACATTCGGAAAACAACTTCTATTATGACTAAAAATTGGCATGAAATTTGACTAGACGTTTCAGCTAATTTGGGGAACACTTGCCAAAAACCCTATTTGTATTTAAGTGTCGTGCCTCTATCCATTGCCAATATCTATAAACATTAAAAATTGTCTGGACACAAAATAACTTATAATGTCAATATTCCGACTTATCCAAGGGAACTGTTTGGCATCAGATTGCACGTGAAATAATTAGTTTATACCACAAAGCCCGTTGTCATGTCACGATTGTTTGCACATGGAAAAATTTCTCACTGTCATACAGGTAATTGGGCGTTTTTTCCTCCCGCTCCGCCTTATGCTGCTACTGCTGGTGCTTTGGTTTGCCTGCTTGTTACCATTGACTTGTTCTGCTACTAATTGCTTATCCTGGTCCGTGGCTGCTGCAAATGAATTAACTGGTTGATTGTAACACTGCGAAAAATATTTCGAAAGCCTCCATCTAACTTAAAACTAATCAGATGAGGCCATTACCATTGAGCTCCCGTTCAGTGAAATATTGGGGCTTTTCGGAATTGGCCACGTTACCGTCCTCGTCGTAAGTAACTCCATTGCCGTAATCTTCATAGTAGTAGTCGATTAAGTAGGGAAATACTGTCATGTTATGCCATTGGTCGTTTTTTAGGGGCGGAATCGGCACTTTGTAATCGCTGGGCGGTGGTTTCATGTTCACCCATCTAAGCGAATTAGAATATTTTCCCATCATTAAACGACCAGTTCTTCAAGGAATTAAGAGGATGGAAATCGGATCGAATCGTAATACTTACGAATGTTGCCTAATCTGTTGCAAATTAAATCGCTCAACCGGGTTTTTCCGGAGCATTCCCAGTAGCAGGTCTCGAAGCGGATCTTCGATCTCACTAGGTATTGTAAAGTCGCCCTTTCCAATATTTTCAAACAATCTGAATATATTATCACCCTCGAACGGATATTGGCCGGTCATAACATTGTATCTATAAATCGCAAATGTTATTGGCTTTACTATCATCATAAATATTAATATTCCTACAATGTTACTCCTGAACTCCAAATATCGAACTTAAAGCCGGGAAAGCTTTCGGCGCCGTTTGCAATTTCCGGAGGTTGAAAAGCCGGCGAACCCTGCCCGATGAAACATGTATCATCTTTGGCAAACATATTAAATCTCTGCAAATTAATTTGAGGAGACATGAATTGTAACAATTTTACGGCTCACGTTTATCAGTGCAATAAAATCGAAATCACATTAGTGTCAGTAAAACATGTTTAATACAAACATATTACCGTTATCTCTAAGAAGCTATTTAAATCCGCCAATCATGTATAAATAAACATTTGTAAATGTCGGTCATGTACTAAACATGCACAGCAGGAATGACCTGTTAGAGATGCGTACGTATTTCAACGATTTCTACTATTATTTTAATGTATTAAATCGAAATAAATTGCCAATTAAGCGTTTCTAAACCCTAAAATACAATATGTAAAAAACTATGCAAAAACAGACAAGTCAAGGGATAAAAGCCCGCCTCTAAATTCTCCTTTGCGAAATTCCGTCCCGCTTAGCATTAAACATGTTGTTATATAGTGATACCATCTAGTAGTTATCTCAATATATTTATAGAATCGAGAGATTTTGAACGTACACAGAAAGAATAAAAATGTTTAACGTTCAGCTCAGGGAAATATCAGATTGAGCCATTACTATTAAAATTATTAGCTTTTTAACATTCTGCACCCGTTCGCTGAACACATCCGGAATTCTTTTAGCGTACATTGTAGATTTTTGAAAAAGTATTTTCTTTGCTTGCTGGTCTTCGACGAAGATACCGCCAACTATACTGAAACTCCTCCGGCAGTTCGTCACCGGGTGCTTAACATTTGAACTGAGCATATTCATATTTCTAAGAAGAGAAACAGAACTAAGTTAAAATAGGTCCGTGCTTAAACAAACTCAAACAAATGAACGAGTCTACTGTTCCGGTAACAGCGATTGGGGGAATCATTTTGTTGATAGTCTGTTCGAAAAGGTAACATGTTTATTCGCATTTTATGTGAAATTCTTTCTAAACAAAAAAACTCACAATCAACTTTAAATATTTTAACGCTGTCCATTGCTTTCGATGCGAAGTAAAGGTATATTTTACAGTGTTTTAGTGCTACATGTTTAACTGTTATGAGTGATTCGTAGAAATTGTGGAAAAATGTAATTATATTTTTTTTGACTAACAGTACAGACCATAATCTATAATTACCTCTGCCACGCCAAAGTCCGAAATTTTCAGCACTTCCTCTAGAGTCAAAAGTAAATTACCGGGCTTGATGTCTTTGTGAACCACTCTCGCTCCATGAAGATATTCCAGCCCATCTAACAACTGGGTGAAGTAGCAATGTGCCTGTTTGGCAGGCAATTTCTTGCCAGGTGCCGATTCCAACATGACTGAAATAGTAAAAGCGTTTCAAACTAACATGATTAACTTATTTGATTAAATGTTTACTTACCCTGCAGCGATCCAACGCAGAACTCTAAAATTAGGTACAGTTTCTTTTTTTCTGGCACTCGCAGTTCATCTATTAGCCGAATCACATTTTGGTGTCGCAATTTTCGCAACAAGCTAATTTCCCTTTGAAGAAAAGACGACGCTAAAGATTCTTAGTTACATTTATCAGAAAAAAAATGTGTGTATTTAATACAATTATCTTAAACGTTCGTTTGTGGCTCCTTTCATTATCCGGACAATAATAAATTAAACAATTTTATCGCTATCTATTCTATATAATCCAATATTGTGGTAATGAAATAAAAATAGACACTATATATCTAGGTTTCGTTCATTTCACGTCTAGCACTGTAGTATTCATGATTTTAAAGTAACGATGATAGTTTTAGGTGCGTGTTTATGTTTGGTTGCTATTCTTCTGCAGATATGCTTTTATTTGTGTTCGTTCAGCGCGCAACAAAAGTAGGTCTTAACAGGCAAATCCATTTGCAAATTTTGGTAAAATAAATGTATACAAAAAGTTTAAGCACTAGCCAGCAATACTATAGTATACTGAAAGAATAACTTGTTTTAGGATCCGATCTAAAATGGCATCATTGGCATCATGGCTCTTCGGCAGAGTAAGTACTTATTGCTTTAGAGGTGAATATTTAAGGCTTTAATTGTTGTGTAATTATAGTTCTTTGGCGGTAGCGTATATGTATATTTTTGCAAATGTAAACGTAAGTTATACTTACTTTTCGACATTCTGTTCCCCATTGGGAATTCGCCGTAGTTTCTTCTCCTTAAAGATTTTCACAGCTCGTCTGCATAGGGATTCAGAGTCCAGCATTTCCTTGACTTTGCCATAAGAGCCTTCGCCCAAAAGATCACCCATCACATACTTGCCAATCAATTTCAAACGTTTTTTCTTCGTCTGATAGATAATTTGATCACTGTCCACTCTATGAAAAAACTGCAATATGTTCACATTTTCCAGGTCGTCGTCCATGCCATCTAGCTCCTTAGCCCCGTGACCATCGCTGATCCAAATTTTCGCATTTTCGACAGGATCAATGGGTTTCAGTTCCTCATCACTTTCAACACTAAAAACTCGATTCACTAGCTCGGTCTCAGGGGTGGCAGGTGCTACACTTTCGGCACTGCTGTTTGTGTTGCATATTTTCTCACTCATTGTTAAACTGTTCCCGTTACCTGCCATTTAAGCTGATCGTTTACTCTGCTATTATGAAGCCCCATTTCGTGATGTGCCATCCATCAACATAGAACAGCTGTTTATAGGTTAGGTCGGGTGGATGCAGGGCGACCAACATGGGCGGCAAAATAAATTTGACCTCGATTAAGTTCAGTAATGAATGTTCAAATGTTTTTGCATAATTATTGCTTTGTACGAACTGAATGGTTTAAAGTATTAGCCCAGCCTTAATTTTAAGTTTAGATTTTGTTTCCACATGGATACCACAATGTTGCAAATACGATGGCATTTTTACATTAATGTCTGCTATCTTCAGTTCAGAGATCTCAGCTACTTTCTGTGAATCTCTGAGCACTCAATGTCACCTTGACTCAAATTGCACTTGTTTTTTAAATAGTTTCCCAAAAAAACTGAATTTGCCGTTTTTGTGCTACTGGTATGTTTAATATTTTTCTAGAATACGCTAGAGGTGATAAATATGCCAGTTTATTATTGGATGCTAACATTAGTGACCTGTCGATAATTTGAAATTAATTTGTAATCTAAATCCTAATGACCATTTGTACTTTACGTTATTAAATATGTGGTGTTTGTTAGCAAAAACGATTGTCTTTGTTTTTCTTGCACTGGTCTGGTATTACTGTTTTATTTTCGTGCTTTTCATAGAGAGTTCACTTGAGCGGATTTCTGGATGTATTTCTTTTATTTTTGAGACTGTATACAGTGTAAGTAGACAGTTAAGTAGCAATTTAAGCGCATTCATTAAGCAGTTTCCCAAAAAAAACTCAATTTACTGTTTTTGTGCGGCTGGTAAGTTTAATAATATTTTTGTAGACAGTGATCGAGGTGATATAAATCTGTCAGTTTATTATTGGATGCTACATTAGTGACCTGTCGTGATAATTTGAAATTAATTGGTAATCTAAATAGTAACGACCCTCTGAACTTTACATTACTATAAGTATATGTGGTGTTTGTTGGCAAAAACAGTTGTCTTTGCTTTTCTTGCACTATCAAGTACTGTTTGATTTTTGTGTTGTTTATAGAGCACACTTAAGCGTGCTTCTGGAAGTATTTAATTTATTTTTGAGACTGTCTATGTACAGTGTACAGTTAACTAAAACATCTAAAGCCCATTCATTCAGCGGTTTCCCAAAAAAACTGAATTTGCTGTTTTTGTGCGACTGGTAAGTTTAATAATATTTTTGTAGACAGTGATCGAGGTGATATAAATCTGTCAGTTTATTATTGGATGCTACATTAGTGACTTGTCGATAATTTGAAATTTATTTTGTAATCTAAATCGTAATGACTTTGAACTTTACATTACTATAAATATGTGGCCCGCTCTAAACAATTTTTCATTTCGGAAATTTAAGTCCCGAAAGGTTTCAGTTGTATATTTCAGTTGTATATTGTTTCAGCACTATATGTTTCGCAAATGTTCACGACCTCAGAAACGTTTCAACGAAATGATACTGAAACGTTGCGATAAACGTTGCAAATAAATATTTTGTAACATTATACAGAGTGTATATATTTGAAGTGCAAATGTTTTAGATGATGGTAAATTTTGACCCTAGAAGGACCAAGGGCGGATCCAGGGGGGGGGTCATGGGGGTCATGACCCCCCATTCAATTCTCTATCCAACGATGCCAAAACGAATTCTCTGGCTCGAATGGTTCTTGAGAAACTTCGGAAAAAGCAGCGTCATGTTCAAGTGGATTTTGCAACTCAAAGAAAACCACGCAAATCTAAAACTTCTTGAATTCAAGCATTTTTTGAGAAAACTGCCAACATTTTCTTGCTCATTTTGCCTCCGAGAAATGAGCAAAAACGGGACGGAAAACATGAAATTTTGCAATAATGTTGCGCCACCCTTGCACAAAACGACGATCATTTTTCTAATTTCATAGATAACCCCCCCCCCTGACTTTAAAGCTGAATCCGCCCCTGAGAAGGACCTCGGACCCCCTAGGACTAGCTGTCAGATTAATTTTTCTTTGAACTTTGACTAAAATCCTTTGAATTTCTGAGTTTTAGCTAAAATAGACAAAAAAGATTGTCTTATTTGCTGTCGTTGTAGGCACTGGTCTGATATTAAGTACTGTTTTATTTTCGTGTTGTTTATCTCTATAGGGAGCACACTTTTGAGGAATTTTTGAAAGTATTTAATTTATTTTTTAGGCTGTATATATGTGACAGTGTAAGCAGTATACAGTTCTAAGCAATCTAAAGCGTATTAATAAAGCAGCTGCTAAACTAGAACATTTTAGGTTGCAGGTGCCGCACCAGAAAACCAAACTGACCAGAACATCGGTCAAGCTACAACTTCTGGTAAAAACATCTCGCATGCCAGCATAGTCACCAATACTGTTCCCGTCGGTTTTGAGGCTTCTCGTGGTACCTCGGCCCTACCCATCAAAGAACACGAAAGTGCGAGCTCTCTTGAAGCATCGGGTGAAACTGCAAAAAGTTTTGACGATTTCGTGCACGTAAACATTGATGAAGAAAACGGTGATTCAGAAGGCGGCTTGTATGAACAGACTTCACATAGCGATCGAACGCTGAATGATCCCAATCGGCAGCAAGCAGCCGAACCAAGTTTTACAAACTGCAGTACCGAATGCGTAGATTTCGAAGTTGAAAACTCTAGTCCTAAATGTTCACAAATAGAAACTGTTGAAAATTTGAAAATTCCAGACATTCGACCAGGTGAATGTAAGAGAGAACTAAGCGCCGTTGAAAACCGAAAGCTCAACGACGAGCCGGAACATCCAAAATATATCGACATGGCATCTGTAAATATATTGATACTGAACGATAAAGCAAACTTGGATTCCGAGCTTCACAGAATTCAAAAAAATGTTAAATTGGAGTTCAGACTCGGCCCTTCTTTGCTGGGCAGGAATATAAAGCTGTATTGCAACTATCCGAAGTCAACTAACGGAATTGTGGAAGAATTCAGCAGAGATTGTTATACGTTAATAAGATGGTCACGGAATGAAGGATGCAAAAACGCAGACGGTAGCTCAACCTTTGCACAGATCACCCCCACGATCGCAGGAAGCTTCCACTACTACTTCGTTGAAGACGATGAGTAAGTTGAAATTAGAAATTGTTTGACAAGGAAAACATAATTTTTTTTTTAGGTTTACTAAGACGAATTTCAAAAACGGATCCGGCTATTTTATAGTTGACCCTGTATTGAAATATGGTGCCAATGAGCTGTTGCCTCTGAACTGTATACAGAGTCAAACGGTATTGTCAAAACTTTTGGGGCCGTTCTCCACATGGGAAAACAAGATACGGGTTGCCAAAGAATCCGGTTATAACATGGTGCATTTTACGCCCATTCAGCAACTAGGAGGATCCCATTCCGCATACAGTGTCCAAGACCACTTGAAATTAAATGTTTCTTTTAACGAAGAAAATGGACGAGAACCGTCATTTGAAGATATCGAGACGCTGACCGCAAAAATGCGTGAAGATTGGAAGATGTTGTCCGTATGTGACATAGTGATAAATCACACAGCCAATGAAAGTGATTGGATTAAAGAACACCCTGAAGCAGCATACAATTGCTTGAACTGTCCTTACATGCGACCAGCCTATCTGTTAGATGAAGCTCTCCATCAGTTTTCCATGGATATAAGAAAAGGCCTCTATGAGGACCGGGGAATCCCTCTTGACGTTTCAACGGAAGATCATCTAAACGCAATCCGTTATCACTTTAAACAAAACGTGTTACAACCATTGAAAATTCATGAGCTGTTTATTGTAGACGTAACCCAATACTTGGAACAGTTTTTAACACAGGCCAGAAAAACCGCACCTCTCAATGACTGCGAAAGAAACCTCTTACCGGACTTGAAAATTATTCAAGATGTTCAGTTTAGGAGATTGAGCAGTTCGGTCGACTTAAATTTGGCCCTCGCCAAGTTCAACTGCTATCGGCCAGATTGTTACGATGAGGAGTCGAGAGTTAGAAGGTAAAATTTGATGTTGTTTTCTGCCTAATATTTTGTTGACACGATATACATATGTGGCAGATGTGCCGAGGATTTTAAAATTCAACTGGATGCCCTCAATCAGGCTGCAATTGATGAAGTCACTGCTGACCTTAGTGCTGCAGTTGAAAACGTTATTGCTGGCATTCGGTATTTCAGAGTACAGCCAGACGGCCCTCAATATAAGGCCATTACCATTGATCATCCATTGGTGTACAGGTAAACTGTGCTACGTTTAGCAATTCTACACAGCTAAGAGCGTTCTGGTGCTTTGCTTTAGGTACTTTACCGATTATCATTCACCCAAATCCCTGGCAGAAGCTGAAGAAACAATGTACAGTACAAACGGACGGTTTCTCATGGCCCATAATGGTTGGGTGATGAGCGCTGAGCCATTAAAGAACTTTGCCGATGCCGGCACCAAGATTTACATTAGAAGGGAACTTATCGGTGAGTCAAAATACTGTGACCGTTTCATTAGTAACATATTGTATAAAAATGTGTCTCAGCTTGGGGCGACAGCGTTAAGCTACGCTTCGGGGACAAGCCGGCCGATTCTCCATTTTTGTGGAATTACATGCGGCAGTACGTAGAACAGACGGTTAAAATATTTGATGGTATTCGGCTGGACAACTGCCACTCAACTTCCCTTCCCGTTGCCGAATATCTTTTGGACTGCGCCAGAAGAATCCGTCCTGATCTTTATGTGGTGGCCGAGTTGTTCACCAACTCGGCCTTGACTGACAACATTTTCGTAAATCGGTAAGACGTAACAATAAACAGATGATGAATAACGGCAATGATTCGAACCATCTAGTTTGGGCATCACGTCGCTTATTCGAGAAGCGATGTCCGCATGGGATGCTCATGAACAGGGACGTCTGGTATATCGATTCGGAGGTGTTCCAGTGGGTGCTTTTTACAAACCTTCAAAAGTACCATTGGTCCCTATGGTGGCACATGCACTTTTCCTCGATCAAACCCATGATAATCCCAGTCCAGTCGAAAAAAGATCTGGTAAGCCTTGGATGATATATGTTTCTGTAGTTTGCAGCTTATCTTAATATTTCTGAGCAGTTTTCGATTTGCTGCCGAGCGCCGGTTTAGTAAACATGGCATGTTGTGCCACCGGCTCAAATCGAGGCTACGACGAACTGGTTCCCCACCACATCCACGTAGTGGATGAAACTAGACAATACGCTGAGTGGAGTCATCATGAAAAGCTTCCTTCCAAAACCAGATATGTTAATAAGTGGTCAGGCATTATTGCGGCCAAAAGAGCTCTGCACGAGTTGCACTTTAAGCTAGGAATGGAAGGATTCGACCAGGTTTGTACTCGTCACGGACCCAAATTATACAATACTTGTTCAAAAGCAACATGGTGATCTCTATTATCTTTACAAGCCTATTCAAAAATGACCTTGGTATTTATTGGTGCAGGTATTTGTGAATCAAGTAGATGGCGATATTGTTGAGGTGACCAGGCACCAACCGGGCACCCACACCAGTTATGTCCTAGTAGCATTCACGGCCTTTGAACATCCCACCGGTGACCACCAGAGAGCCATTAAACCGCTTTCTGTTGAAGGAGTTCTGGATGAAATTGTACTGGAAGCCTACTTAATTCATGCAGATTCCACGTAGGTTTTATGAGTGTAATCCAAAAACCAATCATCTAGGTCATACGCGTCATATCTCAGTTCCAGGTTTGGCAGATTTGAAAAATTTGAGAAAGACCCCGATTGGATCAACGGATTAGCCGAATATAAGCTTTCAATTAAAGAGCACATCCAGTTGCGCGAATCTGAGTTTTTCGAGGAAGCAGCTGACAGTAGTTCTAATTTCGTCCGGTTAAACTATAAAAACTTCAAGCCCGGATCAATTGCAGTGTTGAAGTAAATTGAACACTTTCATTGAAGCGTTTTCTATTACACGTTTGTAAAATTTCAGATTTTCTTTGCCCCAAGGAATCCGAGATGCGATATCTCTGTTGAAACCCCCACAGGCTCCAAATCTAGAGAAAATTGTAAGTGAATTGACTCTAGCAGATTTGAACAGAACTCTCTTTCGATGTGGCGAAGAAGAAAGGGATGAAGGCAATGGCTTCGACACCTACAACATACCCAACTTTGGACCGACAATTTATTGTGGTTTATTCGGCATTACGTGGGTGCTGCGTCAAATAGCCACAGACAATGACCTGGGCCATCCATTGTGTACCAACTTGCGAAATGGCAACTGGTTGATTGGTAGGCCCCCGGATCTTCCCACGTCCCTACAAAACATTTTTTCAACGCCAAATAATTTCCAGAATACGTTTTCAAACGCCTTAAAGCCGATGAGGGGACCCGCGCTTTGGGGGAATGGATTGAAGACTACAGTAAGCCCCTCCTAAATATGCCCCGTTACTTAGTTCCCTGTTATTTCGATGTCTTCATTGGGCAAATATACCCTCAGCTACTAAATGCTGGCTATCAATTGATGTCTAAGTAGGTTTTCGAGCGATGTGGTGAAGCCAACAACTATTTCGTAAATTTGTAGTTTTATCAAGCAGGGATCGCCTTTTGTTCAGTCGTTGGCTTTGGGGTCGTTGCAATTTGGCGGTTACCTCAGATCTGCCTGTCTGCCAGATATGTCGCCCAATCTGGCTCCGCCAAAACCTCCTAGCAGAAAAAACGAAAACGGTGAAACAGTCCAGGCCTGCGTTACTTTATCAGCAGGTATACGTTGTTCACCTTGCTTTATCTCTAGGATTAGAATAACGTATTTTCAGGATTGCCCCACTTCGCCGTGGGTTACATGCGAAATTGGGGTAGAGACACCTTTATTGCTCTGCGTGGGCTGTTCATCTTAACTGGCCGGTTTGAAGAAGCCCGACAACATATTCTGGGTTACGGGTCGTGTTTGAGGCACGGCCTCATTCCGAATTTACTGGATGCTGGTAGAAATCCCAGGTAAGAATAACAAAAGTTTTGTGAGCTTCCAATTTGACACAGTCGTGTTTAGGTTTAACTGCCGAGATGCCATTTGGTGGTGGCTCTATTCGCTCAAATCATATTGCGAAGAATCCCCTAAGGGCGTTGCCATTCTTGCCGATGTTGTATCACGCATATTTCCTTCGGATGATTCTTCTCCACAACCGCCTGGTGCTGTGGATCAACCGCTATACGATGTAATTCAGGTAAAAAATTGGTTGGTTAACAATGAGTTGGTTATATTAAAAGGCAAGTTTTTCGTATTAGGAATCGTTAACTGTCCATTTCCAAGGCCTACAATTTCGCGAAAGGAACGCTGGACGAGAAATTGATGAACACATGACCGATGCAGGATTTAACAACCAAATCGGAACTCATCCGGAAACTGGATTCGTTTTTGGTGAGATCTCCGGATAGATTAATAGACAACAATTAGCATTACATAACATTAGGTGGGAATGAATGGAATTGCGGTACTTGGATGGACAAAATGGGTTCATCAGACAAGGCTGGCAATCGGGGCAAACCGGCGTCGCCTCGTGACGGATCTGCTGTCGAACTCGTAGGCTTATCTAAAGCCTGTATCACTTGGTTAATGCACTTAAATGATGAAGGTATGACATGTAATACACAGAGTGGCTCTCTATCTCATAAATTACTGCAAATACAGGAAAATGTGCTTTACAAAAAAAATCCCACACTGTATACATATATATATAAATCCATCCGAAGCAAATTTAGTTTACCTCGAAATGTATTAGGTCAGTACCCTTATGATGGGGTTCAGCGAACACATAAGAATGGAACGGTGACCAAATGGACCTTCAGAGAATGGTCGGACAAAATTCAACAAAACTTCGAAAAGAAATTCTGGATTTCAGGGAACCCGAACCCAGAAGAATGTAGGCCTGATTTAGTGAATAAGAAGAACATTTACAAAGACAGCTTCGGAGCGTCTCAGCCATGGACAGATTTTCAGCTTAGGTGTAATTTTCCCATTGCCATGGTCGCTGTAAGTGCTCACTTCAATGTCCATAGAAAGAACTGAAATATTTGCTTTCTCAGGCTCCCGAGTTGTTTAATCCTCAACGTGCATGGGCCGCATTAGAGCAAGTCGAAAAGTATCTCTTGGGGCCACTAGGCATGAAAACGCTAGACCCCGAAGACTGGAATTACCGGGGCGACTATGATAATTCGATTGATTCAGATGATTTACTTACGGCCCATGGCTTCAATTATCATCAAGGCCCTGTACGTATCAAATATTTGTCTTGGCGAAAGTAATGAACTGCCTTGTCGTAGGAATGGGTTTGGCCTGTGGGTTTTTTCCTAAGAGCAAAGTTAATATTTGCTGCTCAGAATGGACTGTTAGACGAAACAGTGACCAAAACAAAACAAATCTTATCAAAGCATTTTATCGAAGTGGAGACGCCACCGTGGCGTGGATTACCGGAATTAACCAACAGCGATGGATCCTACTGCCCGGACAGTGCGAGAACCCAAGCTTGGAGCATGTCCTGCATTCTCGAGGTTTGATAATTAAAAAAATAAATAATTATCAACGTATTAAATAAAACTTATCTAGGTCCTGTATGACTTGGAGAAAATCGAATCCAATAGAAGTGTTGCAAACTGACTTAGCGAAAAGGTAGTTCTTAACCGTAACCCGGTAGGCGACTCGCACATCGAAATTTTGCGAAAAACTAATATTTACAAGGAAGGCGAATTTTTCCCAACACCTACAGATGAATCAAAAGACCGTAGCATGTGGCCAAATACTCAGCTTATTGTTAAAGATGTTTTTTTCAGCTATCGCGATTTTCATTTGCGTCGCTTTGTTTCATCTGGAACAAGTAAGACTAATTTGCTCGTTCAATTTAATCATACTAATGATAATTGTATTTCCAATGTGATGACTGCTTACGGATCGATTCCACCTCGGGTAGGGGAAGAAATAATATTGAAGTCCTATGATAATGCTAGGATAAAACAGGGTCAAACCAGATCTAGTGAAAATTTGGATGCAATCGTCCCTTTCATAGAAGTGGTACCCCATAATTTTAATAACAGGATTTTAAGAGTTCGAAATGATAGCGTAGGAAGTCTGCTTACTTTAAATCCTTCACTTTTGGCGTCTATGCCCCGAAAACGGGAAAAATTTCCTTTGACCGAATCGGAACAGAATAAAATAGCTAGAATTACGATTACTTATGTCCTAGCCTTTTTTGCGCTCGTTTTAACTACGTATTTCGTCATTTATTTAGCATAGTGATTATTTTTAAGAGAGTATTTATTTGCTGCTGAAATATTGCATCTTTTTATCAATAAATAATATTTTAACATGAACTGAAAAGCCATTGTTCAATACTGTTGCTGTTACATATATATTTCACATAAATAAGCTATTGAGATAAATGCATTGTTATTTCCGTGGCGGCGCTCTAAGCATGGCTGTCATAAATGTTTTCCTACTCATACTGTTTGACGTTGGCAAATAAGCTATAACACCGATTTATTTTTAACTAGATGTTAAAGTACAATCAATACACATCAATAAATACTTAAAAAATGACAAAAATAAATACTATATTGGCGAGATGAGAAAACAGATTATTGGGAGTCGTGTAATTTTGGAAAATAATCAATAAACATTTGACGACCAAAGTCCTGATAAAAAAATTCAAGCTTAACAAATAACATGATTATTTAATAGACCAAGTAGGTTTCATACTGAGACTATAAAATTAGATTAATATAAGTTTATTTTAAAATATTACAGCTGTAGCCGGCACTGTTAAACGTTACTTAATTTTTGAAATCGCAAAAACATCGAGCTTCTATCATGAAACTTCTAATGAGGAACTTACCTATGATTCCTCACGGCTTAGAATTGCTTTTTAACTTGTATATAATGATTGAGTTGTGACTTAGAAAGTGTTGCTATGCGAATTAAGTACGTTTTGCTTTCTTTTACAGCCTCTCATTTAATGTTGAAAAATACGTGAAGCATTCATCATCAACACTTATTTACCTGATCAACGACTTTCCATAACAATTAATTTACAGCAAAGCTACGAAAATACATTGCTTCATTTGTACAAAACATATCCATTCTATGTACCTTTGTTGGTGGAAAAACGCTCTGGTTTTTCCACCAATTTATCACAAGTGCATAGATCAAAAACCGAAATCACAACCCAACTGTTGTTGATGTTGATGTTTCACATTGACAAACAAACATTTAACTAGATAAAATGGAATGGCTTAGGAAAGAAGAATAATACCTCTAATTAAGCTTTAACTAGCAAATATATTCTGTTGCGAAGAATCATTTTCGAAATCGCTCCATGCGTTATTTAACTCCATAAAAATGAGCTTAGCCAAGTTCTCGTTTTCAGTGCCAGAGTGCTGAAAGAAAATTGTGTGGTTGCCGAAATTGGCATTCGATCGTTCTATCTATGAAAACAAAAAACTTACCTTGTCAGGATGTACAGCTAGACAAGCCTTTCTATACGCTTTCTTCACATCAGATGCTGACACTAATTGATGCATTTCACACTTAGTCCACTTGGTTCCATCCCACAGAATAGAGTGCATTGAGCAAAGCAACGCTCTGATATTGTTCTTTTTTCCTTCTTGCTGAAATTCGGCCACCATATAAATGGCAAATATTTTTGTGAGTGATTTTACTTACCCATTCCATTACTTTCAGTTTTTCAGGGTCCATATAGGTGGACATTTCCTCCTTGCGCATTTCGTTGATAGACCTAGGCGTATAATCCTTTTTCGCCGAAAAACTGTATCCCTGTGACCCAAGTAAATCTCCGAACACATCTTGAGTTTTTTGCTTTATTTGCTCGTCTTTTCCTGTTTTATTTAGCGTTTCAAAATGCGATCTAAAATTGCTTAATAAGTTGCTGTTTTACGAATCTGCTACTGTATACAACCTATTATAATCAGGTCCAGCCGGCGATTTTGCCAGATGTTGTGGAGTACTGGTGGCCGAGTGGCTGTAGGGGGTTCCAGGAATATCGTTAGGGCTCCTAATCCCGCTGGTTGAGGTCTTTGGGGGCGATTCCACTTTCGACTCAGAAGAACTGACCTTTAAGTCGCTCAAATTTTCTAAAATTAAAGAACAGATTTAGCAAGGGACGGCCAGCATAGGACGGCCAGCTACATACCAAAGCCAGCAAAAAAATTCACTTTTTCTTCGGCCCGTGCAGGACCTGTCTGGTTGGCCGGAGCCGAACTATTAAAGTTACTCCAACCTCCCAGCAAACTTGTACTGTCTCCTCCAGCTCCGAGCGAACCAAATGGGTCAAACATGTCATTTGATTTAGTCTGGTTGGGATTTACAGTCGGTGTCGTGGTCGGAAACGAAAATGTATTCGTAGTGCCTGATTCATTTCCTAGAAGCAAAACACAAGTGTCTTGTACTCGTACGTTTAGATTGAAATTTACCCAAATCACTAAGAAGATCGAAATTTGAACTAGGTGATGGTCGAACAGCATCTCGAACAACTTGAGGGCCGCTATTCAAGTTGAGCAAATCGACTGCCTCCTCCAGCACCTCAACTTCATCTTCTTCACCTTCCGAAGTGTCAGTGACCACCATAGGAATGGGACTGGTTGAATGTGTCGGCAGTCTGGGGGCTTGAGGTCTTGGAGGTCGCTGAACCGGTTTTCTACTAGGTTTACTCTTAAAATTGTCTATTGTTTCGTCTTTTTCAATTGGGGACGAGAACATAGTGTCTAATGTCCGCTCAGTTTGATCGGTTTGCCAAGGGGCAGGTTGGGCAGGTTTCCTTTCGTTGTCGCCGACAAACACATTTAAGGTGACTGTAAAACCTTGTTGATAGTGATCTGGGCCATCACTCAGTTCGTCTAATTCGGATTTTGGAAAGCGTATAGAAGTCTCTTCCTCGGGTACATATCCAGTATGCAGTTGGAGTTGACAAATTTTCAGACCAGTTGCCTTGCCTTGAGTCATGACACCCCCCAATGTATGTCTAGCATGGTACACGATGATGCATATGTCTCCGTAGACTGTCGCAGTTAGCGGCAACAAGCATTTACCTTCGGCTATATTATATAATCGCATTTTTTCGTAATCTTGCAACGTGGATAGAATACAACGATTTTCACTATACACTTCTAAATAGGGCCGGCAACCATCTCTCACTTTAGTAAAAAGCGGCACCGGAGTCATTTGGATTGATACCAATGTAACAGGATTGTAATGGGGGTGCAAAGGAGGATTTCGTACAATATCAGCCAAGTAGTACAAATACCTAAAGATTGGATTTCAATTAGGAAAAAGTTGCTCTGGAAACAGAAGCTACCTATCAAACCTTAGCTCTGAAGCTCTCATATTGGGGGGACATCGTTTCACTGCGAACATTTGCAAGGCATCCTCTGGAACTTCGTATAATCCCGCATAAATCATCAAAGCACATGTTAACGTTGCAGATGTGGCTTTGCCATCTGTACAGTGCACAACAACGATATTTCGACTATCTCCTAACAATACAAAATATGCGGGCTTGGACTGCAAGGAGAAACAGCAAAGTTTTACGGGCTTACCTGCCAGATATTGATACATGTCTTCACATAACTGGTACATTGAATTAAGCAACGGGGCTTTGAAATTGTCAGGATATGCGAAAGAACAATCAACAATCCTGGCTTGCCCAAATCTGGATTGGTGTGGTTTGTTTGTCAGGTTGTATACAGAATATCTAAAAGAAATGTTAAACCTATATTCTTCCATCCGCATTAGACAATCAAGAAGGCATTGAAAATATACAAGATTATAAAAAATAGCAGATGCGTTCGAACACGTTTCGAACGTAGTTTGGTAAAGTCGTTAATCTATTAAACTGACCTGTAGTTAGGATGTCGTGAGTCTAAAAAAAGTCTCACGTCCTCTATATGGTTTGATTTGTATGCTGACTCCAGTCCTTCCGAAGGGTAAGGCATGACAATGATGCGAGAAGTGAGATAATGAATGTCCAGGTCCGTTCTTCCCATACTTCTGTAGCAAAGGAATTTGCTCAATATAAAGTTTGAGCGTGTAAAAAAATACTTACTGTTGCACAGTGGCCATAACTTTCGAACTAGTATCCTTAAGATTCTTGAGAAAACTTCCAGCTCCACCTTTTAAAGAGGAAAACAAGCTCGTTTGCTTCGGCTGGTCTGAGAGTCGTGAAGAAATATAGGCGGATTGTCCTGGCGACTTCGGTCGTTGAGGATCAATCGTGGGTTTTTGAAGAATCTAAAACATTATATTATGTTTAAATAAATTGAATGTACTTTTCACTTACCGGAGCTTGGGCAGGACTACGCCGTTCAGATGGTCTTTGCGATTGAATTGTATGTGTAGGGGTACTGTTGGTCAAACCGTCTCCATTGCCCTGCGAAAATCAAAAACTCAAGTATCTATCCATCCATATGTAGGTATATCAAGCAGAATTATCTTGCCTGTTCTGGTTGTAACTGATTCACTTTAAATGGCAAAGGAACTTTAAGATTGTAGCCGTGACTCTCGGCTATTGCCGCTAACCGCTCCAATAAATCTGTTATGGTAAGACGAAGTTCCGGATTGGGTTGGAAACAACCTCCTGTGCACAACAGAACCTATAACCGCTACGACATTTTACAACCCCAACAGAACTTACGAATTATTTCATGAAAACAGGCAAATTTTGGATCTGGTGGCAATGTGTATTTTGCATTGATGATTCGGAGCTTGGCACTGTCATCAAAAGGGTGCTTCATGTAGCATAATGTGTACAAGATGCAGCCAAGAGCCCATATATCTATGGGTGGCCCAATTACATAATTACTCCATGTATCGACCATTTCGGGGGCCCTGTACATTGGCGTTGTAAATTTTGCCAGCTAAAAACATACAACATTTTTATGACTGGTTTTTCATCAAACGTTTTGGTCCGCACGACACAAGTGCCACTTACATCGTCTTCAAGACTGGAATGTTGGTTCGCCGACCAGGTCAAATCTGGATGAAAAATCTCAGTACTGGCAGATCCAAAGTCACATAACTTGATAGAGCCTTCGACGCTAATTAAAAGGTTCTCTATTTTCAAGTCTCTATGTTGGATTGGGGGTGATTGTGCATGCATATGTGCTACTGCCCTGCATGTCTGGTAGAATATCAATGTTATAATATCAGGACCAAATGCAGTTGTCCTGGACTTAAGCAAGTCAACTAAAGAGCCTCCTGCATTGTGACAAAATTAGCTCAGAAAACCGCAACAACTCAGCCTAATGCTAATATTTACCTGGGCATAACTCTGTGACCAGTAAAAATTCTGACTGGCCATGATCGGTTTGAGACTTATCAATAAACGATGCTGAAAGGTACTGTATGATGTTAGGATGTCCAGATATTCGTTTCAAAACGTTAATCTCTTGAAGAATATTTTTCTTTGCTTCCTCATCGGCTGCCAGCAATCTCTGAAAACAAAAACAACACTTTGTACACTTTGTTAGGCGACGATCTGCTGGCAATACCTTCAGGGCGTAGTCCTTTCCAGTGGCAGTGTCTTGAGCGATGAACACTACAGCAAATCCACCTGCAAAATTGAATATAACGAATAAGTGAACAAAGACCTCCGGAACGTGAACCTTACCTTCCGCAATAACTTCTCTAATTTTAAGCTTCACATTCGAAATTTCCACGATTTGACCGACAAAACTGTTTTCATTTTGTCCATTTGCTGGGCCACTAAAGTACTCGAATGCCGATTTAAATAATTCACTCATGTTAAATTATTATTATTTAAAAATAATGTTCCCTTTCAGCTGAGTTCTTTGACGTTGACAACATGATAAATATGCGAACGCCCCCAAATGATATTTGCCTTCTACCTTCACTAGCGCATATATCGTCCTTGCTTAAATGACATGCGCAAGTCAGTTTGAGGTTACGTTAATCAAAACAAACTTCTATTTACCAAAACGGGTATGCATTAGGGCTCAGAATCAAACTCTAAATAAGCCGCAATGGATAAAAAAGTGCCTTTGTCGGCACACTAATTGTAACACCGCGCAAAAGTTGATATCGCGAGTCACCAGAACACAAACACTTAATTTTATATTCATTTGCTTGTAAATATATAACTATTTGTTTAATAGCTTGTAGAATATGAATAACTTATTTTATGAAAGTATACAAAGTGCATATAAAGATATTTGCACCTTGTGAGTTTGATAATGTTGGTGTATTCCAGTCTTCGAATTTTCGAGTTATGACTAGACATAATTATTCGCTTTTTGAATATTCGAATTGTTCGAGTTTGATTCCGAGCCCTAATACCTAATACATATTCGTTTTGGTAAATAGCAAGTTTGTTTTGATTAATGTAACCTCAAACTAACTTGCGCAAGTCATTTAAGCAAGGAGTCAGCTAGGATATATGCGCTACTGTCAGAGCACAGACTACATACTATGTTCTGTATACATGGTTTGGGTCAATTTATTTGTTCGATTCGGAACGCTGAACTGCTAAAGTAAACTTAAGAAAGTCTACAAGTCTACATTCTCCATCTTGCAGTAGGCGTTTACACAGTTGCCAAACCAATACGTAGAAACACCAAATGAATAAGCGTCGAACATTTTTATCTTTTTATTCATTTATGTACATCTACAAGTTACAAATTAAACGAAACCTAAGACAAATATAGAATTTTAGCCTAATACTTACATGGATATGCAATTGAACGTAATATACAAATAATAGTAATAATAGTGACCAAATAAAAATAATTATTACTCGAAAACTTGATCAGCAGAGAGAGGTCAGTCCCGAAAATGATATTTTACAACCAATAAAGGCTGCGATCGTCACGACGCACTTGCAGCATTGTTACATGTCGGTAGATTTTTAATGCCGGTCCCAGTTTGAGATTGAGGCTGGTTAACACATCCATTCTCTTGAGGAGTAACAACGAACGGCCGTCAATTTCCTAGAAGAACATTAAAAACCTTCATATCTCTTGTGATAATAACCACTATTATTCATACCTGTTCCTTGAACACTTTCGCTTCTTCCGGAAAAAATTGAGCAAAATACTGATAGACTTCGTCGGGCGTCCAATGTGTAGCATCTGGGATGGAGGGATCAATAGTGGGGTCCTCATGTTCAGATTCCTCTTTTCCACTGTTGGAGTCCGAATTACCCTCTCGATCAGGATCAGAGGAGATTTTCCCTATAGGGCTCAGTATGGGTGGGCTTCCAGCGGGTGAGTCATATGGCGTAGATTGTTCGGAGTTTGAGTGGAATTGAAGAGCTTCCTTGCCTGGAAAAATATTGGTCTTCCACTTAGAAAGTTGCCACATCAACTGTAAGCTTACCACCGTCGTTGTTAACTGAAATGTTATGTCGAACGGTTTCCCCAATATTGGTGTGAATATCATTAAGCTTTATGTCGTCGGTCATTTGGCAGTTGGAGCATATCCATCTCGATCCGTTTTTTATTTTTTCAGTGATTATGGATGGATGACAAGATGGATGGTATCCGTCCGCGCACACTGAACACACTATGAGATTACCCTGAAAACAATCGCCTCATAATAGTACAGAAGTAGAAGAAGTAACACATGCAGGACTTGATTATGAGAAATAATAGGGATGGTAGTGTCACTTACCGCATTAGAAGTTTCGAAACACTCCACACAAATTTTACAGTGGGGACATTGCCAGGTATTGTCCGGGCACAGCTTGAGCATCATATCGTCTCCATTCAAGCAGCCATAGTGAGCTAAAGGAAGCAATTGAAACGTCTATGAAGGAAAGTTTCAATGAGTTACCCAAGGCGGGGCCAGGGG